CTAAAGAACAGGGGTCGATTTGGGAGTAAGGCCACAGGTGGATGATGAATGGCCCCTCCCAGAGGAAATAAAAGAGGAGCGAAAGGGGAGTGGAGTTTGCAGGAGATAATTAGTTTGCTTCATTAGTTCGTGACTCTCTGAGACTCCTGGCCAAATTCTGCAGATATCGGCCTGGCAGCTCTCCAAGCCAGATAAGGTCTGTGACTGTCAACTCTCCCTTGAAAGACTTTGCTGGATGTGAATGAGCAGAATTCACAGTGGATTAATAAAAGGGGTTTTTGTCGGGATCAGGAGTTTGCTTCAGGCTCTCGGGAAGCCTCGGTCAGAACATGACCATGTGGTGCTATTTCAGAGATGAACCAAACGATGTTAACCAATGAAAGAGATCCCAAGTCTTAAAAATTGCCAAGGTTGGACACCCCACCGTACAACGCTTTTCCTTCCATCTAACCAGCTTTGCGAAACTAAGCAAACTGTTTTTATCAGTTGAGAGGAATCACTAGATTCACCATCCTTTTGTCCTGATTTAGGCACAGATCACAGAAGAGTTGAATAAACATTGGCAGAGGTTGCTTGAAGGACTTTGTTACTACAAACCACCCAGGTACGGTAACGAGATGCTGGGCATCCAGTGCAGCACTCAAGTTAGGAAAAGCTTGGGAAAAAAAGTGGGTTTTTTCTGGCCATGAACCTGTTTCCCCTTTTAGAAATTCATCTAGTCTGAAATTTTAGCAGAAAAAAACAGCACACAAAGACTCTTAAAGGTTAAGATCTGATTCTTAGGCTTGGCTTTAGGGCTTTATAATGTTTGTGGAATGCTTGTGGATATAAAATTATCCAGCTGTTAGATCAAGATTCCCTTTGTTCCAAATTACTTAAACCGAATAACTGTTTCTTACGTGTAGTTCCAATTCAGCAGAAATCGTGAAAGCTGATAAAAATGTGCCCGCTTCGTTGAAGGAACTGGGACTCCGCGTCAGCAAGTTTTTGGTAAGAAATAGTTTCAAAAGTCACTTGGCTTTTTTTTTTTTTTTGCTCTGCGTGTTTCAGGACGGGGGTGGAAGGAAATATCAGAATGGGAGAGAAGTTGGTTTCCCCCAGTCCTGCTGTTTGAGTGAGGTTTGTTGCCTGGGACTTCTGAAGTTTAATTGAGATACATTGCAGAACTTGGAAGGGGCAGTGAAAATTAGTCATTGTTCTGTTCTTCACGGTCCTATCCCTTGCTCTTAAAAGGCCTGTAACGTAGCTAAAAGTTTGTCTGCCATTGCAGGGTTTGGATGAGGAGCAAAGCGTGCAGCTCTTACAATGTTACCTTCAAGAGGATTATAAAGGGACCAGAGACTCGCTAAAGGTGAGTGATGACATACGGTCTCTCTCTCTTCTCCAGAATTTCTGTGGGCAGGTGTGTCTCTCTGCATGGCTCTTGAAGGCTAGGAGTTTTTTACACACTGAGTTCTCACTGTGATGCTGTAAGCTTGCATTTCCACTTGGGGGGATGAGGCCTGCCTCGGAGGTACTAGCCATAAATACTAAGATTCATAGCAATAGCAATAACAGTTAGACTTATATACCACTTCATAGGGCTTTCAGCCCTCTCTAAGCGGTTTACAGAGTCAGCATATCGCCCCCACAGNAACAGACCACAAAGAACAGCCTGATTACATTTCAGCTTTAAATAATCAACGTGCAATCACTTACAGGGACGGGCTGAGGTGTCGCCTTTTGCCACCCTGGGCCAAAGACACCAAGGAAAGACAGTACGGGTGTATCTGATTACGCTCTGGGGGAGAAGTTTTATCCCCTTCAAGGGTAGCTAAAGCATGAACAGGATGTGGAGGTAGAGCGGCAAGAGTAAATTGTCCACCTGGGTGGTGTAAGCTTCTAAAAACGACACCAGGGTAATGGAGACCAAGATCCAGGAGTAGCTGGCGTTCAAGTCCACAGAACTGTCAAAAATCACAATCAGGGCAACCGCAATGATTTGGGCAAATATGGACGACATGGTTCCTTCAAAGGTTTTCTTGGTTCCGGGCCATTTGACTTCCCCCATCGTGCTGCCGAAGATGGACGCCACCGAGTCCCCCACGCCTACAGCCAGAACCCCGGAGTATGGAGCCAGGGCTCCTGCCCCCGTCAGGGCACCTTTGGGGGCGCACGGCCTCGGCACCAGCCACACCGGGAAGGACATCCCGAGCAGAAGGTAGATGTGAGTCAAGATCAAAGGCCCGCTGTCCCGCTCGTCCAAGAACAGCGAGAGCAGCTGCCGCAGCGTCTGTCCGAAGGGCTTGATGGTGAAGTAGCGGATGTACTCAAGAAGAATGAAGACGGCCAGGCAGATGACGGCCGCCACATACAACAGTTGCCGGTCGTAGATCAGCCCAGGGACGTAAGTGGCCACCACGATGAAATGGAAGTACTTCCGGGTGACGGTTGAAGCTTGGTGCTTTTTAGAGCCGGAGGACCGCTTGACGTTTTGATAGAGGACGATGGCGCAGGCCAGAGAAGCCAGGAGGGTCCAGTAGGAGAGCAGGTGAATTCTGACCTGGGTTTGGGAGAGCAACTGGAAGAGCCACGTCAAGGGATTCCTGCGGATCAGGCGGTAGAGCCAAGGCATGACCACGCCGAGGCTCAGGACGGCGGTCATCATGTGGAAAAACATGGAGGAGGTCCAGGTGGCGGAATCCATGAAGAAGAACAGCACGGCGAAGGAGAGGCCCAGCAGGACCACTCCCACCACCACGACTAGGAGGAAGAAGTCCACGGGGCTCCCTCGGTTCTCGCTGACATTCAGAGAGCGCTTGATGAGCTGGTTGAGGACGAAACTCAGGCCGGTGAGGATCAGCAGGGCCTCCCCGGGGGTGAAGCACCGAGGCAACAGGTACAGCAGGATCATGCTGAGGTAGACGAAAATGAGCAACACCTCCAGCACTTCGATCACTTCGGAGATGGTTAAGGAATGCTTCATGGTGTAGATGATCAGCGTCCCGGCAATCCCGGTCAGCACGCAGGTGTTCGTTGGCACCGGCTTAGTAATTCCCAAAGCGATCACCGACAGGAAGAGGGCGATCATCATGCCGGTGCAGGCCACGACAATGCCCAGGCGCTCGAAGTAGACAATGCCAGCCACTTGGCACCTTTCCTTCATCACGATGCCCAGCAGAGGGATAACCATGCAGGAGGGGAGGAGGCCGCTGTTGGCCGTGGTCCTGAACTGGAACACAGCCCCACCCAGGCGAAGGAGGTGGTCCCACTTAAACTGGATGTAGAAGGCTTGGACGGCGAGGACGAGGGCGGACCACGAGAAGCGGTCCCAGACCACGCTGTGCACGCAAAGCACGATGGCAAACACCACCAGCGATTCCACCAGAACCGGTTGGTTCCACATGGTGACGGTCGAAGGATCTCTGCAGCCCTTCCGGAGCTTTTCAAATGCAGGGACTCTCAGGGCTGAAAGCTCCCTCCCTTGTTCGGATCACCCCTGGAAAAGGGGGAAAAAACAGAAATATTTTAAAGAAAGCACGCAGTGGCACAATGGTGCACCCCACATCACAAAACAGCTTCTTTTTAACAGAAGACAGAAGAAGCTGCAGCTCTAAACGGTCCCTGTTCCCACCTCAGGGGATAATGACAGATTAGCAGAGTCGGAGGGGACCTTGAAGGTCATCTAGTCCAACCCCACCCCTGCCCAATTCTTTGGCACCCCCTTCTCAAGTTGCGACTACCATCCCCCCACCCTCATCCCCAGCCACCCTCGAGAATCCAATTCCGGCACTCCCAAGTTGAAAATGGGCCGTTTTTGGGGCCCGACCTAGCCTACCCTGCGGGGCTGTTGTGAAGCATATCTAGTGGGGAGATCGGGAGGAAGAGGAGGAGGGAGGCAAGAGGCGGCGCCGCCCGCCATGCACTCACACACGCACACCCGCCCTTCTCCCCTGGGGGGCTGAGCTCTTTGGGAGGAAAGCCGCCCTCCGAGCCTTCCCCTCCTCATCGCTCCGCCTCACCGCCTTCCCTGACTTACTCACCCACCCGGGCGCCGCCATCTTGCGGTGACGACGGCGCGCGCCGGTGACGTCAGGCGGACCCACGCGCGCGCGCCGGCTTTCCTAACGGTCGAGCGGGCGGCTCCCAGCGCGCACGCGTTCGCCCCGCCTTCTCTCCCTCTCTCTCCCTCCCCTCCCTACTGGAGGCCCCGCCCCCTTTCCCCCCTCCTGGCGGCTCAGCGGGAGAGCAGGCGTGGTGGGAGGGAAGCGGGTCACGTGGGAAGGGGAGGCAAGATGGCGGCCGGCGGGCTGTCTGCGAGGTAGGAACCGGCGGGGCGCGCGCGGTCGTCGCCGGAGCCCCTGAGGGGGGAGGGCCGGAGCCCCGAGCCTCGCCCGCTCAGCCCCCTTCCCCCCCCCGGAGCTTTGGGGTGAGGGTCTTGCGGGTTGGAGGGGAGGGGGGACCCCCCCTGCGAAGCCCCCCGCCTGCCTTCATTGCTCTTCGTGTGAGGGAAAATATATATTTATTCATTGGAATGTTTAACCCCCCCCAAGGGTCCAGTGGACTCTTAATTGTACACCCCCTTCCCACAACAACCCTGCGAGGTGGGAAGGAGAGGGCGGTTTTGGGTGCCCAAAGGCAGAACTCGAACTCAGAGCTTCGGCTTTTCAGCACCCAAACTGGGGCAATGGATTAACCCTTTTCCCCCTGGAAGGAAATGAATAATAATTCCCATTTGAGTAGGAAGAAGGCAGGGATATTATATATACGTATATGTATATTTACACGCGCACACACACGTACACACATACGCACACANGGGTACCGCTAGGTCAGTCAGCTGTGCTGTGCCCAGCTGAAGGGGGGTTGCCGGGCAGCTGCTCTCTTGTGAGCGGGCTCCCGAAGAGCTGGGCAGAGCCTCAGAGTCAAATGGCTGTGTTGTGCTGTCGCAGCAGCAACACAGCAGCCATAAGGTGACCAGGTTTGCGAGCAGCTGCCCGGCAACCCCCCTTTCCAGCCGGGCACAGTGCCGCTGACCGATCTAGCGGTACCCAGAAGGCACCAAGCAACACAAGTGCCTGTTCGCTGCACTCCACCTCCCGCGGCTTGGCGCCTTCGGAATGCCCCTAGGTGAGTGAAGGGGACTCTGCATGGCTGGAGAGGGGGGTTGCACGAGCAGCTTTTCTGCTTCCCACTCGCACGACTCGCAGGCTCACGATGCCCTTGGCTAACTACAGTACCTGCAGAGCCAGGGCGCCGCCTGCCGCTTGGGGTTTTTTTTTTGGCTTTCAAAGCACAGACAGAGGCCGCTTTGAGAGTACGCTCTATGGTTGTGGGCTACAGAGCGTACAACCATAGAGCGTACTTTCAAAGCAGCATCCGTCAGTGCTTTGAAAGCCGTAAAAAAAGACCCAAGCGGTGGGCGGCGCCAGCAGCGGAAATGCCTTGGCTCTGCAGGTACTGTAGAGTTAGCCAAAGGCATCGTGAGCCTGTGAGTCACACGAGTGGGGAGCGGAAAAGCCGCTCACGCAACCCCTCTCTCCAGCTATGCAGAGTTCCCTTCACTCACCTAGGGGCATTCCGAAGGCGCCAAGCCGCGGGAGGCGGAGTGCGGTGAACAGGCGCTCGTGCAGCTTGGTGTCTTCCGGGTACCACTAGATCGGTCAGCGGCGCTGTGCCCGGCTGGAAAAGGGGGTTGCCAGGTGGCTGCTCGCGAGTGTGGTCACCTCATGGTTGTCGTGTTGCTGCTGCTGTGACAGCGCAGCACAGCCATTCGACCCTGAGGCTGTGCCTGGCTCTTCAGGAGCCCGGTCGCAAGGGAGCAGCCACCCGGCAACCCAAAAACAATAAGCCCTCCCCTTTAATAAGCCCAAGGCCATATTTCGTGGGTCAAAATAATATAAGACCCTGTCGTATTTTCGGGGAAACACGGTATCTCATCTATAGAATTAGTTCTTCTGTGTTTTTGTCCCTTGGTCAATTGCATGTTTTGAAGCTGGAAGAAGAGGGAAGGGTTGAGGGAGAGATTGCAGGCACGTTTCCTATTATATGAAATGCCACTGAGTTAAGAAATTAGAAGTAAGTTTCCTTCTCTCCTCTTACCTAGGAAAAATTCAATTGGTCTAATAAATAAAACCAGGGCACTTGTTCAATTACATTGGTCGCATTTCAGTACAATAGAACATCAAAACACTGATATGTTACCCTCTGAACGTTGTAAACTGGATTATTTTCTCTCTCTCGTATTTTGAAAGGTGTGGCTGCTTAAAAAAGTAATTTAAAATTATAGCATGTTGATGGAGGGAAGATTTCATAACACTCTTAGAGAGCTTTTATTTATGTTATCGTGTTTCCCTC